GTATGAGGTATGTCCTTAGCTTTTCCCTCCAGTGGAAAAAATGTCCAAAGTCATGCCTTAAATAATCTACCTTCCTGTCTCTGATATGAATTACAATCTTTGTTATAACCCATATTCTCAAATAATGACTGAATTTGGAATTCTTTTTGTTGTTCCACTGATTTTTTTCCTATTTCTGGGTCTATCTTAATTACTGTGTATGTCTATCGGTAGGCCTCTTTTAATTATTATAACTCATAGGACTTCATTTGCTATCTAATAGAACCAGAATCCTATCATTCTTTTTTTTTTCTTTTTTTACTTTTTCATTGATTTCAGAGAGGAAGGGAGAGAGAGAAACAGAAATATCAATGATGAGAGAGAATCATTGATCAGCTGCCTCCTGAGTGGCCCCTCCTGGGAATTGAACCCACAACACAAGCACATGCCCTGACTGAGAATCTAACCTTGGCCTCTTGGTTCATAGGTCAACACTCAACCACTGAGCCACACCGGCCGGCCCCATCATTCTTTACATAAAACGTGGAGCAAAAGTATGCCCACAGTTGTTCATATGAAAAATACAATAATTAATAAATAATAATACAAGAATATACTGTTTTGTGTACTCACAACTTAAACCTATTTTTGCTCTATCCTGTATTTATTGTGGCTGGTCTTTGAACGTTTTCTTTTGCCAGTGAGCCTTAGAATCAGTTTGTTACATGCCATAAAGAACCTCACTAAAATTTTGATTTGAAATTTATTCAATGTATGTGTTAATTTGTGAAGAACTGACTAATCATATTAACCAGAAACATGAGAAGTCTCCATTTATCAAGCTCTTTTTTATCTGTGTTACCGTAATGCCACAGTAAAATCTCATAGTTTTATTTGTATAGATCTTGAACATTTCTTGTTACGTTTATTTACAATAAATTTGTTTTTACTTGTTATTGCTGTTGTAAATAATAGCACTTCTTCCCATTATAGTTGATAAACAAGTTACTGCCTAAGAAAGCTATTGCTTTAGAATATTAACCTAGTATCCAAGGACAAAAGCCACTATTAGTTGTGGGTAAGGGTTGGGGAAGGAAGGCAGGCAGAGAGCTTGGAGAGATCCAGAGAAGATGACACCAAGTTACAGATGCTATGAGGAGCTCTGAGAAAGAATCTGCCTCACTCAGCACTCTAGACTTGGCTGAACAGAGTCAGGGGATCGGGGGAGCAAGACAAAGAAGTCTCAGAATCCTTTAGGGAAAGTGCCGTGTCTGGAACTTTGGAGAATACTGAAGAACTGACAGCAGGGTGTGTTTAAGCAGAGCGGGAATCTTAGCTAGAGCACACAAGTCTCCCTGAGGCCGACACAGGGCACGAAAGAGGCTGAGCAGGTTCTGCCTGTCCCAGTGGTGAACACAGAAGTGCAGAGAGTCAACCAGTGAGGAGACCTGGAGTGGGGACCACAAGAGGGCATCACCTACAGACTTGCAGGACAGACCATGGCAGGGGCCACAGGCCTCGACAGCACGGGCCAGTGCGCACTCCAAGGCCAGTGAGACTAGTTACATCCAGAAAGGATGAGTGGGGAGAGAGGCCAACAACCAAAGACCAAACCACAGGAGCTGCGCCAAGGAAGGACTCAGAGGACTGTGCCCTCACTGCCAGGATGGCACGTAAGTTTCCCTGCCTCCCGATGCCACTCTGGGGGTGGGGAAGGAAGAAGATCTCACCATAAAAATAAGTTGGATTATATCTACTTTCAACAATATTTGGGAGAAACAAGCACTCCCATATAAGATTAGTGGGAGTAAATTATTGTAAGCTGTTTGGATGGATATTGATCAGTAAGGAAATGTAAAATGTCTACACCTTTCAATCCAACAATTCCACTTCTAGGAGTTTCTAGTACAGATGTTCCAGATGCAAGGGTATACATTCAAGCATGTTTATTACTGCACAGTTTATAACAGCAAAAGACTAGAAACAACTTTGATGTCCATTAATAAATAAGTTACATACATGCATACAATTAACTGTCAGAAAACCATTTTTTAAATGAAGCCAATCATCTATCTGATATTCAAAAATATGTAAAAATATTAAGAAAACACCTGGCCGGTGTTGCTTAGTTGTTGAGTGTCAACCTATGAACCAGGAGGTCACAATTCAATTCTGTCAGGGAACATGCCCAAGTTGCAGGCTCAATCCATAATAGGTGGCGTGCAGGGGAAGCCAATCAATGATTCTCATCAATGATGAGAATCTTTCCTTCTTCTGTCCTCTCTGAAATAAAAAAATATATTATTTAAGCCCTAGCCGGTTTGGCTCAGTGGATAGAACGTCGGCCAATGGACTGAAGGGTCCCGGGTTCAATTCTGGTCAAGGGCACATGCTCAAGTTGCCGGCTCAATCCCCAGTGGGGAGCATGCAGGACGCAGCCGATCAATGATTCTCTCTCATCGTTGATGTTTCTATCTCTCTCTTCCTCTCCCTTCTTCTCTGATATCAATAAAAATTTTTTTTAAAAAAAGAAAACAAGGTGAAGAATAATAGAGAGTTTATCTTGTTTTTGTTGATAAAGGCCTTTCACATGTTGGGGGAGCTTATATAACAAAAAAATTTCTAGAGGGATATATAAAATACTGGTAACAACAGTTATTTATTGGGGAGATGTAATGGGGAGGAGAAAGAAAATATGGTTTTCATTTTAAACTTTTCTGAACTGTTGGGAAAAAACCACGAGCATGATATTATTAAAGGTGGTTTTTTAAAACACTAGTAAGAAACAAGAGTAACGCCTCTGCAAAGTGTGTGCTAACCAGGACGGCTGATCTTCTGCCAGCCTGTGGGGACACCCACGGAGGGCTCTTCATCGGGTCAGGGCAAAGGGCCTGAAAGTCGGGCATCACGCTAGTGAGGGAGAGGAACGGGAGAAACCGTTCTTCCCAGGAACTGTGCCCTCACTGCCTACTCAGAGTATAAAGGCATGCCCACACCCAAGCTGGAAGCTGTCTGGGTTCTGCAACAAGATCCTTTTGATAAATTCATGAATGAGTCTCAGGAGTTGGACCCAGTTTCTCTGAGTTAACATTTTATAAGCCCTAATTTTTTTCTAATTTACATTAAAGTTCATGTTCCAGGACATATAGATATGGATAAGAGCACAGAAATTCTTGATATAACAGACAACAACAACCACAACAAAACCAGGTTTGTGATCTTGAGAAAAGACAAAAAGTTTCTTCACTCATGTCCTTAACACAACAGAGGACTGGGTGATGAGTGAGAAGACCCTTGCAGGTTCCTAGAAGCAGTGAGCCACTGCATCAGGCTTACATGCTGAATTTTACACAACTCCTTTTCCAGAACCAGATGCCACTCATCATTACATTGGCTCTGGTCAGTAGTCATACGTTAATCTTTATACCACTTTTGTAAAACACTACGAGTTTTCAGTTGTTTGTTCAGATTTACTAATGGCAGAGACAAAGCTTTTTAGCAGCAAATTCTTCACAAGTTTTAAATGTTTTCTTCTATTAACTATTGAAATGCATCTTACTTTAGAGACAGATTTATACTTCAAAATTGTGTGCAGCCTAAGGAACATATTTCATGACATTTAAGAACCACCAAAGTCAAAGAACCACTTACTCTAAGCACGTTTTCCTGGGAAATTGTCTAAATATTTTAAACTATGTAAACAAAAATATCAAAACGTGTAGTTAAGGGATAAAAGCTAGGCATTGGTTATTTTTTTCTCAGACATGTTTGTTCATTCTCATTATCCTGCGAGTCATTCTCTACAGAGCTTCCTGGTACCTCTGTCCTGCTACTTCTTACCAGATGCTTGTCCCAGTTCTCTTCCAGCCTCACCCCACAGCTGACCTCCCTGGACCTCCCACGCTCACTGCTGTCCATTTTCATCTCACACATCTTTCCTGCCGTCTCCCGGCAGCGCCCACTGCTCCCCACAGCCATGGTTGTTAGCTGCCTGGCTGTCTTTCCTGCACTGGCCAGACAGTTTTCTCTTCAGAGATAGGAGAGGGGAGGGAGAACAAAGGGAAGGGAGAGAGAGGGAGGGGGAAAGAGAACTAGGAATAAATATGTTGGTTGCCAGAGTGCCATCCACGTTCGTCTCTTCCTTCTCCCACTCAAAACCCTGCCCAGAATAATTTCTTCATATTTGGAAAAAGAAGAGAATCCCCTGTGACAAACTATGTGATCCCCAATGAGAAGCTGATTGATCGCCTACGTTTCAGGGCCGTGGGAAAGTTGGCACGGAGGGTAAATGGATTTCAGGGCCGGCAATGAATCTGTGAGGTGCATTTCAGAAGCTCTCCTCCAAACCATAAATAAGCGCAGGGTGACTGCCGCCTGGCAGGGGGGACCAGACAAAACTCCATGCCCACCCAGGACCACTAGTCAATACCCTCGTCACAACACCTCAGAGAGAGGTTTCCCAAAGGGACTGCTCCAAGAGCTCATTAGGGGAAAAAATAAAATATTTAAAAGGGCAGGTCAAAACACCAGAGCTTGCAAACAATTACTCAGAACAAAAAATATCTTATAGAGTTTGAGGGTGGAAAAGAACAACACACTCTTCAGTAAAGAGACAGCAAGATTTTAGTTTCAAAATACGCCCCCAAGACTGCATCTCCCACCCTGAACCATTTACTAGCAACCCCACAACCAGAAGGAACCAGGCACCTGGTGACTATGTATAACCCATATTTAACCATCTAATCCAATTCCCGTGTGAATATGGAACATGAGGGTAAGCTGGTGGAGAGGAAGAGACACGGGAGGGGTGGGGGAGGGGCTATGGGAATAGTGACTGCAAAGAGGCCCAAGGCCAGCAAATAAGAGAGAGGCCACACAGCTCTCACTGGGAGAGAGAAGCCCCGTCCACCCACAGATGTTCAGCTAAAGCAGTTTCTTCCCTGGCAGGAAAAACTCTGTGGAGAACAGAATCTGTCTTTGGACGCTTCATAGCAAAGGTGAACCCACAGGTTGACACTTACATTTCATTTGCTTGAAGATGGACTTGTTAGGTTCAAGCCAGTGCTGGGGAGAAAAAAAACAGAGATTGCAGGTCAAATGGCTGGACCATGTGATGCATACTTAATAACTAAAAGGAATTTAATAAAGATACTCTTTTTCCAAAGTACAGCCTTGGTTCCTATAGATATTCCTCAGGGTTCCACCTCTGAAGATCCACATGAACAATTCAGCAACAATAATACCATAGGCAAGGGTATAAACTGCAGAGAATTAACACTTGCTGAGCAGTGTTTGAGTCAGCCAGTTGCTAGGGGAGAAGGACAAGAGAGCAAACATGCACCTAAATGGGATGTTCTCGTGGCTCTAGTTGACTCCTCAGTGATCCTTTGAGCTCCATCGCTCTAGGAAAACCAGAGATGGCCAAAGACTTGGACATCATTGACCTCAGAGTCACAATCCAAGACAGCATCAGCACCCTCCCGCACCCCTTCCCTGAGGCAGCCTCCTCCCAGGTTAACAGTGGGTCAAGCCAGCATCAGCCCCGTCATGCACAGAGCTGATTCTTCCTTTGCGGTAGGGAGGAAAAAATGATTTTTAATATCTCATTTCAGAGACCTGAGGTCATCATGAAGGAAAATCAGCTCCCTCACAAAACAAAGGAGCTCAAAGACCTGGGCAGGCGTCTGAAGCAGACTTCTTGCTGGCCCCAGAGGCCAGCTCTCTCTACACCATGTGTGACGGTCACTTCAACATGTTCAGATCTAGGAAGCTTTTGATATCACATGATGTCCCTGAAGCCACTTAGGGAATTTCAGGAAACATCACTTTATACACCTACTAGAGGCCTGGTGCACAAATTTGTGCACCAGTGGGGTCCCTAAGCCTGGCCTGTGGGATCAGGCTGAAACCAGCTCTCCAACATCCCCCAAGGGGTCCTGGATTGCGAGAGGGTGCAGGCCAGGCTGAGGGACTCCACCGGTGCACAATCGGGGACAGGCAGGGACACAGGAGGTTGGCCAGCTGGGGAGGGACCGTGGGAGGGCTACAGGGCATGTCTGGCCCATCTCACTCAGTCCCAATCAGCCGGATCCCAGCAGCAAGCTAACCTACCGATCAGAGGTCTGCCCCCTGGTGGTCAGTGCACGTCATAGAGGGCAGTTGAGCAGCCTTAGCATATCATTAGCATATTACACTTTGATTGGTTGAATGGCCAACTGGACGACCGGACACTTAGCATATTAGGTTTTTATTATATAGGATAATTTATAAAGACAATAAGGGGGTTGCCACTGGGTATCCACCAAGAGGTCTGGGAGTCCCCACTATAGGTCCCCCCACCCTGTTTGATACAGGAGAGGAAAGGGGATACTTATCATCAGTTGAGTGCTTACACCTCTCTCTCACTGTGTCATCCAGAAGCCTCAAGGTTCTGTATTATCACTATTGCTTGATGTAATACAAAACGATAAGGTTTAACAAGAGATAGCATTTGCTAAGTGCTTACTAAGTGCCAGGTACTCTTCTAAGAGTCTCCACGGACCATCACTACCTCTCCATTTACAGATGAGAAATCTGGGGCTCAGGAGTTAAACAACTTGCCTAAGGTCACCCAGTGAATAACGGGAGGGCACTGTGCAGTGGAATTCCAGAGCGAGGCCCTCGGCCTTGGCTGTGCAGCCTCCCGATGGATCAGTTCACTCTAAAATGTATCATTCTCCACAATGAACATTCTCTCTTTCACCAAGAACTGAAAAATTGAGTGGTCAAATCAGGAGTTTCCAATCCAGAGTATAAGAGCTCTGTGGCCTTCAAAAACAAGAATAGTGCTCTGGCCGATGTTGTCTGGTGGTTAGTGTGTCAGCCTGAGCACCAAAGGGTTGTGGATTCAATTCCTGGTCAAGGGCATGTACCTGGTTTGAAGGTTTAACCCCAGCCCCGGTCGGAGCAGGAAGCAACCAATCTATGTGTCTCTTTCACATCAATGAATCTCTCTCACTTTCCCCCTCCCTCCTCTAATAATCTATGGGAAAAAATATCCTCAGGTGAGGATGAACAAACAAACAAAAAATGGGTGTCTTTTCATGAAGACTAACAGAAAACCACCATTTCCTCCTGATGCATTGCACAAGCTAAAATAGCAAGTTTCTTTGCATATGGCCAAAATTATATCAACTTTTGGAAACCCTGGTTATCTTCTTTTTTACCCCAATATTTTTATTGTGGTAAAATATACATAACCATTGTAAACATTTTAAAGTGTGCAATTTAGTGGCATTAAATGCATTCATAATGGTGTGCTACCATCACCACCATCCATCTCCAGGACTTTTGCCATCTTGTAAAATTTAAACTCTGTGCCTATTAAACAATAACTCTCCATTTTGCACCTTCCTCCCAGCCCCTGGAAACCACTATTCTACTTTTTATTATCTCCTTCTAGTCAGAAATAATGCTTGTTCTTTATAGCATTACAATGGAAGGGTGGAAAATGTATTGGTTTTACCACTTACTGGCTATATAACCTTATGCAAAAAATGTTTAACCTCTCTGTGTCTCAATTCCAACAACTATAAAATGGGGACAGTAATAGTATCTACCTTGCAATCATTTTAAAAGTTATTCAACATTAAACACTTAAACAGTGGCTGGCATGTGGAAACCAGTAAATGCTTGTTTGCTGATGCTGTTGCTGTTACTTAAGTGCAGTTTAATTGATAGACCAGCGTCTTCCAATACATGGGACTCACGGAGAATAATAAAAGCGGTGTCTGGTGATGAAATTACTTTTCTAGAAACAAACAGAATAGCTTAGAACTAAGGCAAGAAAACAAATAACAGCAGCCAGAGATCAATACCTATTGCTATTATTTCACAGAGGAAAATCACCAGTCATTTTGCCAATAAAGCCTGAAACATAAACATGTTTTCTGAATTCTCTTTGCCTGTCATCCTTTGAACTCCTTAGCCCTTCTCAGCCTAAGGTCAACCTACCTCTGCACCTTTTCTCTGCCTCCAGGGAAGACAGGTAAGTTTCAGTTTGTGTGCCCACCCCAGTTAGTCAGTGGCAATCTCCCAGGGCTATGAGGAGTGTTCTGAGATGGGGTGTGTGTTAGTCAAGTCTGGCAGAAGGTAACCACCATGATCATTGGAGATAAGCCTTAGAACATGTATTTCTATTTTCTTTCTCTTGCTACTTGGAATATATGCTCTTTTGTTTCCTTCCTGGAAACTGATATTCCCTAAGAGAGGCAGAAACGAAAGTGTGCCAACCCAAAATCTGAATTTGTGCTTGGTTTACTACAACGGGAACCTTCCTTTCCTCAGCTCTCATTTAGACTCAAAACTCCAAAGACTACGGAAGCTGAGACCCAATCGCTGATTGTACTAATGAGCTCAGGGAGCGAGGGGCACTGGAGGATGCGCCCTAGCATGATTTGAAGGTGTCAGGAAGGTGTCTGCTGTCAGGGCTCTGACAGGGATGTGCCCAGGTCCCCTCGAGTAGCTCTCCCTTTAGTTACACAATCGTCCGACTCCCTCAGGTTACTGGAGTCCACTGCAAGATGGGGAACTGAGCCCGCACTCACACCCACCCCACAGAAGGGCAGCTCTTTAATGCCCGACAGGTGTGGAGGATAGTACGTCTGCCCCTTCACCCAGTGGCCAGGACAACTCTCAGACACGACCTACACGACTCCAGAGCTCCTCTGTGGGACTGAGCCCACATCCCCTCTGTACGACTGCCTGATACCACAGTCTCTCATGGCCTCCTTGTATTCCCCATCCCTTCCCATCCCCAACTCTCCTACAAGTCTTTTCCTAGGAACATTTCCTAATAAACCGCCATTTCCATCTCAGGATCTGTTTCCTGGGGACTGGACCTAAGACCATCTCCCTAACTCTCCACCAGAAACTGCCCTCCATGATGGTTAAGATCCTTCCCTTGGAGGTTTATTCCTTTTGCTTTAGGTTTGAACCCTGCTCACTGCAAGTTCCCTGTGAGAGGTCTGAGTTTAACCAGGTTTTCAGTTTTGACAATAGCCTGACCACATTTCAAGCCATTTCTTAAAACAAATTTATTTTGATTGACAGCAGCATGAAGAAAAAGGAGTGGGAGGAAGCCACACCGAGGGTGGAAAGCAGAAAGATAAAGCCTCGGGGCCTGATTCCCTTACCTGTGATCTTGGGGGACAGGGGGACCCTAGGTTCCTTCAGCTCTCATGTTCCACATTCTATGAACCTGAAGGATGAGAATGTTGCCAGCAAATGTTTTCTTTTTAATTTGTCTAGGCCGAGCTGTGCTTAGCCCTAAGAGATTGGTTTTCTCTACCCTTTCATAGAAATAATGCATTTCTTTTGTACTTTCTAATTTTGTCCTGAGGGAAAAGAAGGTAGGTGTGAAGTGGTGATTATTTGTGACTAAGATTGATTTTTAATTCAGTAGCTGCATACACACACACACACACACACACACTCCCAAAAGTAAACAATATCACAGTTATCTTCAAATGTTAGGCTTCTGTTGAAACTGATTTAGCCAATGATTACAGAATAAATTACACACCTCTCTGTTATCTTTCTCAAAACCTTTGGTGTCTTAGACAAGAGTAATCTCTAGCCCAGAGAAATGTAGTAAAGAACCAATGGGCTTTAAACAAGAATGAATGTGTGCCCCCCCCCTACACACAAAAAGAGAGTCTTTCTTCCCTCAGGAGTAAACAAATTCAAAACTGACCACTTCTCATCATAGCCCTGAAAAGATGGCCTGATTCTCACATTACAGCTGGACAAAGCCCCGAGTAACTCAGTCTCTCCGTTATCTAGCCAGTTCATGCCATTTCTGGGTCCTGTGGCTTTGCTGGTGGGGAGAGGGGGGAGAATGCCATCTGAATGAATGCATCCCTAACAGTGCTCTGGATAGAAAAGTTAGAGCTAGGCCTGGTTATTTAGCTCCAGTAACAATGGTTTCCACTCCAGTTTCAATTAAACCTACTACACACCACAACAACATCTGGAGATCAGGCACACTCAAAAGTTATTGTCCTTTTGGAAATCAGTCTATGTAA